GATCTCCTCAACACGCGTGCCCAACACCTCTGCAACCACAAAGAAGTCGAGGACCCAGCTAGCATCGGCACCTTCAACTGGACCTGCCACTCCTTCCAATATGACCCACTCGTCCAGTGTGCCTTCAGAGTCCTGCTGAGGAACAAGTTGAGCCTGTTGTGGGCTCGAGGTCCTGCATTCTGGGGTCTCTGGTGCCACATGTACCCCTCTGACTTTCTGCAGCCATCCCGATTCCAGAAGAGCCTCAGGTTCGAAGTTGAAGTCCCCTTGGGCCACCCAGGGCCTGTCTTGGGCCATCACATAGGCCCCAACCGTCTGCAAGAGGTCCAGATTGGGTCCTGGAGAGCTCCTTGCCCGTCACAAAGTACACACTGATGATGACGAGCCCCTTCGGGAACCCCACGTGAACGACCCTCGCTACCACCCTGCTAGAGCAATCCTCAAATGCCGCGGGCGCTGTCGGCGCCGACCCCAGAGACGAACGGACAGCAACTGCAGCGCCTGAACTACTCTGCTGCGGGGCTGGCCCAGTGCCGCGAGCCTTCCCAAACGGAAAAAAAGAAAGCCACGCCTGCGCCCCCAGCTCATAGCGGAGACCTGCTTGGTACCACTCTTAATTCGCGTCCCTTGTGCGCAGCAGGCATGGGGGGGAGAAAGAGCCCCAGCAGCTTTGCCATCGTCAGCCCACCACTCCATCACCGCCTCGAACGTGCTCCACGCCTTTACGTTCATGCCTGCAATGACGAGCGCGCCGATGGCGATAGACTGCGGTTGTCGGCGAGCCTCTTCAGCAGCATAACTCTTCACTTTCACAACGCTAGCAGAACCCTGCACCACCTCGGGAGTACATTCGCCTGCAAGAAGATTACGAGCAGGAGGTTCTGACGCCCTCCTGTCAGATTTCAACCAATGAGTTTTCGAATCCGGGTCTAGCTCCACGTGGGGAGGAGGGGTCGCGGTCTCAGAACCGCAACTGGCATCGCCAGCATCCCCCGAAGGTCGGTACCCTCTGGCACTAAAGTCCTGGCGTAAGAGGTGCGCTGAGCAGTGCGTGCCGGCGGCCACAGCCGAAGGTCGGCACCCTCTGGCGCCCCCATTGCCAGGCGAGAGTGCTGAGCAGTGCGTGCCTACGGGGGCCTCCGACCACGACGATGCACTGGCCCTGTGCGATGATGACGACGCAACCAAGCTCGCTCTTGCCCCCAATCCCGAGGAGCGGGCCAGTTGGGGCTCAACAGTCAACCTCTGAGTTGCAAATGCCCCCAACCCCGAGGAGCGGGCCAGATGGGGGAGAGGTCCACGAACTTCCGCTGGCTCACGAGGTCCATGTGGCGACCTCTGCGGCTCCAAAGGAGCCGTGAGTGCACCGCTCGTCGGGGTCGCCATACACGGTCCAGTCGAGCCTGAAGCCCCAGTGCATGAGGGTGGAGGGGTGTGACGAACAGGGGCTGAATCCCTTTCCCCTCCGCCCATGGGCCCACGGCCCTCGCCACGTCCTGCACCAGGAAGAGGCCACACTGCAGGGTCGAGCAACGGCGCCCCCTCCACATCATTTGCTTAAACAGCGTGGACTCGAAGCGCCGATCATCCCTCAGGACTGGATTTGCAAAGCCCGTGGCCTCCTCACAGTCGGCGTCGATCATGTTGCTGCCCAGGAAGCGATCAAGACCGGCCATGCCTGTGCGCCTACCCCCGACTCCGCTCAGGTCAGGAGCCAGTCCGTGCACGCTTGACCCCGAGAGCTTGTGCAGCTGCGAGGTACTTGCGCTTTGCAGCGTCCAGCTCTTCCTGCGGTCCACCTCTGGCTGCCTTGAGCTCCTCAGTTGCTGTGTCGAAGGCCTGCTTCCGTTCGTCGAAGTCCTCTCCGCCGACCAGCTCCATGTCGATGTCATCAGCGTCTCCAGCGTTGGCAGCGATGTTCTCTCCGCCTCCGCCTGGAGCACCTGGAGGCTGAGCAGCAGCACCAACATCATCCTGAGAAGCCTCTGCGGCCCGAGCAGCGGCCTGAGCTTCGAGCTGCAGCTGCTGCAACTTCTCCAACGCAGCCCTGCCTTCCGCCGACTCAGCGGCCGTTGAGGCAAGGCCAGCCGACATGGCCTTGAGCGGGTCCTCGAACTCACTGGCGTGCGCTTTGCACAAAAGCTCTTGGGCCTGCACAAGATCCTCTCGCCCCTTGTCCAGGGACACCTTGACCGTGTTGAGCTCCTCGTCCAAGGCTGTGCGCTGGCGCTCGATCTCGGTGATCCGCGCCTCCATCTTCGTGATCTTGGACTTGAGGTTCTCCACCTTCCAGCGCGCCGCGCCGACTGGGCAGTAGGTGCACGTTTTTTCTCCGTAGCCTTCTTCTCTGCCTCCACAACTGCATCGATGGCCGCATTGGGGGGAGGAGGAGGAGGAGGAGGAGGAGGAGGAGGAGGAGGGGGAGGAGGAGGAACAGGAGGAGGAGGAGGAGGCGGAGGAGGAGCACGAGGGGGAGGAGCGGGAGGAGAAAGAGGAAGCGGAGGAGAAGGAGGACAAGGAGGAGGAGGAGGAGGAGAAGATCAGACACATTGATTCCTTCCATGCGTCGGACCTTCTCCTCCGCAGTGCCGACCCTTTCTCCCATGCTGGCTTGCCATCCTGAGCCGACTCTTGACCGCCCTGGGGCTCGGCAGGGGCCCTTGCAGGGCCGAGAGCGCAGAAGCACATCGGCCTTCATGCCTTCGGGCCCCTGGAGGCCTGCGCACTGGGGTGACACAGAGATAACCGATACTGCTGATTCGCTACTGCGGGCCCCAAGAATATACACCACCACCACGTCGATTGCTCCTACCTCCTCCACCCTCATCTCCCTCTCCTCTTTCCTGGGAGAGAAGGGCGATGACGGAGGTGGTGGTGGTGTATACCTGTGAGCCCCGCAACTACTCTCGCGCCTCTCTCCTGGGGTGCGTCGTGACGAGAGTTTCGAGGAGAGTCCAGCCGTGGCGACGAGGGCTCTCCAGGAGGGGCAACCGCCTGCTCCTCCTCTTGAGGGACACGCGACGCGCTCACGATAGGATGCCGCTGGGGCAAGATCGGTCCGCATCGAACCTGGACAGCTTGTCGGATCGGAAGGCGCGTCGGACGGGGTTTCCTCGGCACGGCGTCGAAACACCGGATCGTGTAGGCCGCGCCAGGACCAGCACCAGCGCCGCGCCAGGGGCAGAGGCGGATCGCTGGAACACCAAGCTTGAATCCCAGACCCCCAACGTCATGATTTTGTTCATGACGTCGACCGCAGGACGTTTCGACCTATTCCCCCGGACCGGAATTTCATCCCCGGTCGTTTTTTGACGGTCCCGAGGCCTGGTAAGGGCCCCAAAGGCCCAAAAATACCGAAGAACCTCCCGTCGTGATTTTTTCATGACCCGAGCTACCAACCTGGAGCATATCCCTATCCCTATGCTGGGCACCTCCTCATTTGAGGGAGTTTCTGTGGAACTCACGTCATCCTCACCCCCGGCGCGAAGAGCACGAGTCCAGAGCGGCCTCCGGCACCGTTTCCGGACGGATCCGGACGGATCCGCTGGATCCGGGGACGAATCCCAAACCGGCGCCCTCGCCTGAGACATCCCCGCAAAACCGGCCCCGGGGGAGGTGCCCAGAGGAGCCCAGAGCGGCCTCCGGCACCGTTTCCGGACGGATCCGGACGGATCCGCTGGATCCGGGGACGAATCCCAAACCGGCGCCCTCGCCTGAGACATCCCCGCAAAACCGGCCCCGGGGGAGGTGCCCAGAGGAAGCCCAGAGCGGCCTCCGGCACCGTTTCCGGACGGATCCGGACGGATCCGCTGGATCCGGGGACGAATCCCAAACCGGCGCCCTCGCCTCAGACATCCCCGGAAAACCGGCCCCGGGGGAGGTGCCCAGAGGAGCCCAGAGCGGCCTCCGGCACCGTTTCCGGACGGATCCGGACGGATCCGCTGGATCCGGGGACGAATCCCAAACCGGCGCCCTCGCCTGAGACATCCCCGCAAAACCGGCCCCGGGGGAGGTGCCCACAGGAGCCCAGAGCGGCCTCCGGCACCGTTTCCGGACGGATCCGGACGGATCCGCTGGATCCGGGGACGAATCCCAAACCGGCGCCCTCGCCTGAGACATCCCCGCAAATCCGGCCCCGGGGGAGGTGGCCAGAGAAGCCCAGAGCGGCTTCCGGCACCGTTTCCGGACGGATCCGGACGGATCCGCTGGATCCGGGGGCGAATCCCAAACCGGCGCCCTCGCCTGAGTCCGGCCAGGTGCCCCGCAGCGGCCTCCGGCACCGTTTCCGGACGGATCCGGACGGATCCGCTGGATCCGGGCGAATCCCAAACCGGCGCCCTCGCTTGAGACATCCTCACAAAACCGGCCCCGGGGGAGGTGCCCAGAGGAGCCCAGAGCGGCCTCCGGCACCGTTTCCGGACAGATCCGGACAGATCCGGTGGATCCGCGCCCCGGGGGAGGTGCCCAGAGGAGGAATGAGGAGGAGGAGGAGGAGGAGGAGGAGGAGGAATGAGGAGCTGGAGGAGGAGGAGGAGGAGGAGGAGGAGGAGGAAGGTGCGAGGAGGAGAGGGCGGAGGACAGGAGGACAGACGGAGGCAAGAGAAGGATGGAGGAGGAGGAGGAGGAGGAGGAGGAGGAGGAGGAGGAGGACCTCATCCTCACCCTCGCCAACAAGCGCACGCACCTTCTTTTATATACAGAAACTCCCGATCAACCGCAGAGCGGCCGGCTAGTCACGATGCCAATCTTAGGGATTCCCTCATTCTTTCAGGGCGAATCCCTAAGACTGTCATCGCCTTGTGGCGTGCCAATCTTAGGGATAGGGATACGTTCGAGGCTGGTAACCGAGGGGATCCGGGATCGCATCGAGCCCAGCCAACTCGAGACCGAGCCGGGCCGCCCCCGTCCACGCGGGCCCTCTGCAGGGCCGCGGCCCCCCGCAAGAGGGCTCCAGCGGAGGCCCCCCGGGCCGCCTCGCCCGCGGCCGCCCCCGCGGGCACTCACGACACGGGCGTGGCGGGCGCTGCCGGCGCTGCCGGCGCGGCCTGCGCGGCCAGCTTGGCGGGTGCCGCGGCCTGCGGGAGCGCTCTCTCCCCCAGAGATCCGACGAATTGAAAAAATCAGGGTGGAGGCTGCTCTCAGCTTGTCGGCCTCTCGGGGGGCCCTCGCCGGGCTCCGGGACCGTCAACAAAACGGCTCAGGATGAAGGGGTCGACCCTTCTGGGGACCCCGCTTGGAAAAAATCACGACATCGGATCTCTGGGTTTGTCCCTCGCCAACGACAACAACAGGGCAGCTCAGGCAAGCAGGCGTGAGGTACCTGTGCTGGTCTCGAACGAACAACACACATACCCATAGGGGGGGTCGTTGGGAGGAGGACTGGCTGTGTATGGGGTACGGGTGCGGGTTGTCGGATCCCGGAGGACGCTCCCGTTCGCGCGGGGACCGCCATCCGACAACACGCACCCATAGTCCTCTCCGACCTCCCTACGGGTATGGGTGTGCGCGTGGTGGGGAGGCCGGGGGAAACCGATGCTGCTGCTCCCCAAACCTCTCCCGGGGTGCGTCCTGACCAGGATTTCGAGGCGAATCCCGCGGTGGCGAGGAGGGACCTCCAGGATCGGGGATGGACAGACCCCCCTTTCGTAAAGCATGGTTTAGTGAAAACGACCCGAGGCCCAAACCTGGCGGGCGCAAGCCTCGAAAATAACGGCCACGGCGCCATCTCGAGAACCGAAAACGGACAATTCACTAATTAAGGGCTCCCAACTTCGCGCTTCGCGCTGCGCGAAGCGCGAAGCGCGAATAACTTCGCGCTCTCGCGCCGCCCTCCCAAAGGGAGAATAGGAGGACGAGGAGGAGGGGGAGAAGGAACGAGGACCGCGAAGCGCGAAGCGCGAATAACTTCGCGCCCTCGAGGGAGCCCTTGACTAATCGACGCGTCACTGTTGGGGGTTCTGTCCACCCCCGACAGGAGGCCCACGGAGGGGACCACGAGGGGGAAAGGTCGTGGGTAGCTCTTCCTTTCTCCACCTCCGATGTTGCTCGATCGTCAGAGGAGGCGAGGAGGAGGAGGAGGAGGAGGAGGAGGAGGAGGAGGAGGCGAAGAGGAGGAGGAGGAGGAGGAGGAGGAGGCGAAGAGGAGGAGGCGAAGAGGAGGAGGCGAAGAGGACGAGGAGGAGGAAGATCAGACCCCCACCTGCTCCCTCTCCCGCGTCCGGTTGCAATACCTCCGTCGTCCAGCCGTGCTGTCGCTCCCCATGGCTTCCCCCATGATTCATCTCTCCGCGCCCACCGAAGGAGCCGTTTTCCCTCCCTCTCCCCTGGTGAACGTTCAGGGATGGACAGAAACCCTTTCAGTAAAACGTGGTTTAGTGAAAACGACCTCGGGCCCGAACCTGGCGGGCGCAAGCCTGGAGAATGACTGCAGCATCGCCCTCTCGAGAACCGACAATTCACTAATCGACGTGTCAGGGTGGGGGTTCTGTTAACCCCCGAAACGTTCTCTTATTCGGCGCTTCGACGCAGGGCAGAAGGGGGGGGGGAGGGGGGGGTCTGGCTCCGGACCTCTGCTCAGTGCGACTGTTTGCACCAGCGCGTCTCATGGGGAAACATCACCTGTCTGAACCAGGCGCCCCAGACAGCCAAGATCTACTTCTTCATGGGGGGGGAGGGAAGGGGGGGTGCCAGGGCCCGCGCCGATCGGCAAAACAATGAATAAGAAAACGGTTGCAACACAGACACCCGACGTAGCGCTTGTTTCTCAGCGTGGCTCCCCCCAAAGGTCGGGACATCTTCTGGTGGGTCGACTGTTCGTCCCGAGCCGAGTCGTTCTCTTACGGTCCCAGGGGTCTGGTGAGAGCCCCAGGGAGGCCGAAAATTGCTCAAACTAATATCCTCTCGTCGCGATTGGAACACGACGCGAGGAGGGTAGAAGAAGAAACAACGGCATGAACATACACTTTTGGTGCTCCACGCAGATTTCTTGGATCTGCGCTGAATCCCCCTCCCTGGCGCGCGGAGCGCGCCAGGGGCGGTGCCCGAGGCGCCGCCAAGGGGGCCCAGGCGCAAATCCAAGAAATCCGCGCGGAGCGCCAAACGCCGAGGGCCCTGGGGGGCGGGCACCGGGGGCGCTGGCCGTCACAGCCAGCCCGCACAGCAAGGATGGGCAGCCTGCCCAAAGTTACCCCTTGCATCCTTGCCCCATCGGCTGGCCCATCCCTAGCGACTTTCGCTGGCCAACCCCGCTCGGAAAACGTTCGCGTGCACCCTCACCGCGCACCCCTGTGATACGGGTTGACTGCACCAACGTGCCCGTCCGCTTGAGCAGGGGCCGACCGTCCCGGCATTCCTATAAGCCTACCGCGACATTTCTTACAACCCAAAAATGTTCTAAGAACGAAAACGATGTTCTTAGAACATAAAGCCGATGTGCTAAAACAGGACAGCCCCAACCAAGAGCGTTCTAAGAACATGGTGAAAACCACAAAAAAATTAAACCATTCTCTGGTGGGCCTGTAAGCACGCCAGGACGCTTCGCCACTGCTTGATCCGCACCGCATGGTCCGTACGGCAGGAGCGGGAACGCAGCCTGCGGCATCTGCGGCAACTTCTTGGCGATCTCGGCCTGCACCTCGCCCCGGGCGGGGGGGGAGGGCGCGGCCGGCGGCCGCGCGCGCGCGCCAGGCGGCTGCACGTGCAGTGAGCAGGCCGGGTGCCGAGCGCACTTGCACACAGCGAGCCAAGGGCTGCGAGAGCGCGATTCTTCACTAAATTGTGAGGAAATATCAGGCGGGAGCCGTTGTTTTTGTAAACTGGGGGCCAACAACGCAGTTTGACTCTCAAGATTGTCCCTGATAAAAAGCAGGGTGCGAGCCCCGTGAAGGGCACTTCAATCGAACAAAACAATGTGCACCGGACGGGGGGATCAACAATAATTATTCTTCAGGAATAAAAGTTCAACATCAACAACAACAACAACACCAACAACAACAACAACAACAACAACAACAACAACAGCAGCACCAACAACAACACCATCAACAACAACCACAAACACTAACAACAATAAGGACAACACCCACAACAACACAAACAACAGCAACAACAACAACAACAACAACAGCAACAACAACAACAACAACAACAACAACGACAACACCAACAACAACAACAACAACAACAACAACAACAACAACAACAACAACCGCAGCAGCAGCAGCAGCAACAGCAACAACAACAACAACAACAACAACAACGCAACGAGCAGAGTCCTCACCCCGGATTCTCACTTCAGCCACAGACCCAGGGACAATGAATGACCGTTCGACCCCCTCACTCTGACAATATATTCTCCGAGGCAAAATCTTGAACATGCGCAGGCACCCCGCGATCACTTTGTATGTGTTTTTGACTGGGACGGCGGGGGTACTGGCATATTGCTTGCTGTGTGTGGGCCCACCTGGCACTGAGATAGCCACCCCGCCGCGATTGCGCACCTGGTTTTCGACCAGGGTGGTGGGGGCCGACTCGCTTCCCGATGTGAACCGCCACGTACACAGGCGCACCTGGCACACTCTGCGCGTGCCCTGAACGAGGCGACCATGTCGCGGCTGGAGCATGCGGCACACATGGCGCACGTGGATCACGTGGCGCATCTGGCGCATCAGGCGTGCCTGAACTGGAGGCCTCCTTGATGGGGTCAGAATAGATGGGGTCGGTGGATCGCGCCGCATCGCCGATACATCGCCGATGCATCGGCGATGCGTCGGCGATGCACCGGTGATGCACCGTCGAAGTGGGCGATGCACTGGCATCGTCGACGTGCAGCAAATGGGGCTCCACATCGAGCCGCATCGGCGATGCATCGGTGATGCGGCGCGATCCTCCGACCCCATCTGCTCCGCCCCCATCTAGGAGGCCTAGACGAACATGCTGCGGCTCGGGTGCTGCTTCTGTGGAGGGCGGGTGGGAGTGCGCGAGGCAGCTTGCGGGCGGGGAGGGTGCCTTGACCGCTCCACCTATAGCCCCTCTCCCTGGGTCTGGACGGGGGGGGCGCAAGCGGTCAGGCCGCCCAGGATGGCTCAACATGGCTCCAAGAGGGCCTCCGATGCTCCAAAATGGCCTCCAAGATGGACTCCAAGATTGCTCCCGATAGGCAAAGACGGCTCAAAATGGCTTCCAACATGCTCCAAAAGGCCCCCCAAACCGCTCCAAAGAGTTCCAAGTGCTCCGGGAGCCCCCCCAAGATCCCCCACAGACGCCCAAATCCGTCAAATATGCAAATGATTGTTGCCTTCTGGCCTTTTCGCTTCCGCTGCGCTTTTCAAGCCTCAAGACTGCCCTGAGATGGCCCAAAGAGAGCCCCAAGGGGGGCCCCACAGTGCCCCCAGACAGCCCCAAGAGCGCCCCAAGAGAGGATTTGAGAGCCACAGACTAGGGACCAAGATATGGGACCCCGCCCTTTTTGGTCGATGGCTTCCAAGATGGCCCCAGTAGGCCCGCCAGGGCTCCCAGGAGAGCCCCAGGAGAGCCTCACCCTCCAAAAGCGTCCCAAGAGGACCCCAAGACACCCCAAAAGAGCCCAAGAGGTCCCCAAGAAGGCTCAAAGAGAGCTACAAGAGGACCACAAGGGGGCCTCAAGAACACCCCCAGATGGCTGCCAGAGTCCACGTCCTCCTCCTCTTCGTCCTCCACCTCCTCGTCCTCCTGGTCCTCCTCGTCCTCCTGGACCTTCCTGGTCCTCCTCCTGGCCCTCGTCTTCGTTTTCCTCCTCATCGTCCGTGTCCTCGATGTCCTCCTCGTCCTTGTCCTCCTATTTCTCTTCTTCCTGCTCCTCCTTTTCCTCCTCCTCCTCCTCGTCCTCTCGTCGTCGTCCATGTCCTCCTCAATTCACCGTGGTGGTCCGCTTTGATCACCATATGTGCCTCGTCTTCTCATTTCCCGTCAGCTCCGTCAACTCTTATGGGCAGCGTCTCGGAATGGGCAAGTGGGCATATGGGAAGCGTGAAGAATCTCTGCCAACACAAAACTACGGCGCGGGGGGGGGGCACTGTCCCAAGGGGTCAGAAATCCGCCTCTGGACGCATGTTTTGGCACGCTCCGGCCATCCAAAGGGGGCGACGTGGGAACGAGCGAGCGAAAGAACCACCCGTGCGGACCAGTGTCCGGGCCTCGTGAGACCAGGTGGGTGTGGCCTTAGCCTCGAGATGCTGCAGTGTGTATGTATGTGTGTGTATGTGTTGAGGCATGCACGCGAGACGTGGAGAAAGTTGTGTAGGCCAAGGAGGAGGACAAGGAGAAATCCTTCCCCAAAGCACAAAAATCGCCAAGCAGGCAACTCGATCCACGACCCTCGGACCTCGAGCGAACGACGGGGGACGTGAGGGGGCGGGGCCAGCTCAAAGGGGCAAACACCGACATGGTACAGTCGGCCCGTATCATTGAAGGGGCCCTGGGACACACACTAATAAATATAACCAAAAATCAATATTCCCCATAATTTCCAATATTTTCTGGGTTCTCGTCTTCCCCCCCACGTCCCATATTCTCCCATACTTTCCTGGGACTCGACGATTAATTGTGTCAGCGTGTTTTTTGTTCTCCTCCTGACTCATAAGGACGAGCGATACGGATGCAAGGGCCTCGGACGCCCATTTCTAAGCTTTTCGATCGGGGCGCGGCCAACACGATAGTGGCCAAGGCTGGACCGCCGAGGAGGCAAAGATGCAAGGAGTACCCTTGGGAAGGTTGCCCATCCTTCCTGTGCGGACCGTAGGCCCCCGATTGCGAATCCGCAGGCTCCTGGGCGGGATCGGTCATCGAGACCCTATCGGCGATGAGTGGGCGACTGGGGGGCGATTCCCCCCTGAGCTTCTCCCCAGCTGGCGATCATTGCGCCGACCTCGCAGACGCGCTGCAACGGATTTTGGCGTGGATTTCCGTCAGCGCAAAACCCCGAAACGGCGGGCGAAAAACGACGTGGATTTGTTGCAGTCTCCATTCGTGGACAACAAAAATCAGCACGAAATTCATTTCGAAATCCAGAACGACATTCTCCAGGACAATCTTGGACCATCCCATTGCTTTCCGAGCGAAATCCGCTCTGCGATGCTGGCGCCACAGAACGCCGCCCCTGACCTGAGCAACTGGTCGCTCTTCTCGGCGCGCCGGCGCCGTGAGGGCGCCTCCAGAGACGCCGCGCTTTCTTTTCGGGGATGGACAGACCCCCCTTTAGTAAAACGTGGTTTAGTGATAACGACCTGAGGCCCAAACCTGGCGGGCGCAAGCCTGGAAAATAACGACCACGGCGCCCCCTCGAGAACCGAAAACGGACAATTCACTAATCGACGTGTCACTGTTGGGGATTCTGTCCACCCCCGATCTTTCTCGAATGTTCACGGGAGGGGGAATCTGCACACGGGGTGCAACGCAACGCGCCACTCTCGCGCACGTTTTGGGGCCCGCGGTGGCAACTCAGGGGCCGCCAGGGGTCCCCAGGAGGAGGGCCGCTCTCCCGCAAACCTTCGATCCCCCCCACGCCTATTGCCTTCCCGTTGCCGCCGGCCCGGCCCTTCCTGCAGAGGCCTCCTAGATGGGGGTCCGCGTGCAGTCAGCCCGCATCCTAAGGACGCGCGATACGGATGCAAGGGCCCTGGAGGCCTGTGTCAACGTTTTTCAAGCGAGGTTGGCCAGCAAAAGTCGCAAATGATGGGCCGAAGGGGCAAGGATACAAGCGTACCCTTGTGAAGGTTGCCCATTCTCACTATGCGGGTTGACTGCCGACGGGGTCGGACGATCGCGCCGCATCGCCGATGCATCGGCGATGCGTCTGCGTTGCATCGGCGCCATCGGCGTGGAGAACCTCTGGCTCCACATTTATCCGCATCGTCGATGCTTTGGCGCTGCGGAGCGATCTCGGGGATCTACTGACCTGGGTCAGTCGGGCCTTGCAGGATCCCTGCAGGCTCCTGCGCCCAGCCCGGGTTAATGCGACCCTGGCTCCGCAAGGTCCTGCAAGACCCGGCGCTCTGACGGGCCCCCGCTTGCATCGACCCCCTCCTCCTCCTCCTCCTCCTCCTCCTCCTCCTCCTCCTCCTCCTCCTCCTCCTCCTCCTCCTCCTCCTCCTCCTCCTCCCCTCCCCCTCCTCCCCCCTCCTCCCCCTCCCCTCCTCCCCTCCTCCCCCCCCCCCTCGAGCCCCCCCGCGGAGGTGGGCACCCCGCAGACCCGGGCCCTGTCGGGGAATCCTCGACCGTTGCCGCCCTCCCGACCCCTCGCGATGCGGCCCGGGCCGCCGCCTCGGCAGACGCCGCGCCAGCGGCTGACATGCAGCAGGGGCCCGATCGCAAGAGACCGTCCACGAGAAACCCAAGCCTGAGACCCCCAGGGCGTCCATGGATTTGTGGTGTGAGCACGTCACGCTTTCCATCGCAAATTCATCGAAACCCGAGAAACCCAGGGCACCCTGGAGGCAAGCAGGGTGTGCCTTGGCATGGGCCTCCAGTGCACCCGGAGACCCTGTCGGGGAAGCCTCGGCCCCACATGCCCGGGCCCTGTGGGGGAAACCTCGAACCCCGTCTCTGGAGCCCCGACGCTCCTCCGACCCCACATACTGAGCATTTTCTGAGGGTGGAGGGCTCAGGGTGAACTCCATAGGGACTTCTGCACCTCGACGATCGATCCGTCTTGCGATTCACCCTTTGCAAATTCAGGCCTCGAGAACCCTTTGAAACGGCACTTCAGATTTCACCTTTTGCCCTCCACCCGAAGAAAATGCTCGGACCTGCCTGGGCCCTGTCGGGGAAGCCTCGACCGTGGACGCCCGCCCGATCCCTGCTGGCGGCGCCCCCCTTCGCGATCCGGCCTGGGCCGCCGCCTCGGCCGACGCCGCGCCAGCGGCCTTCGCCGCGTCGGCCTCGGCGGGGCGGCCTCTCCTCGCCCAATCCACCTCCTCCTCCTCCTCCTCTTCCTCCTCCTCGTCTTCCTCCTCCTCGTCTTCCTCCTCCTCCTCCTCTTCCTCTTCCTCCTCCTCTTCCTCCTCCTCCTCCTCCTCCTCCTCCTCCTCCTCCTCCTCCTCCTCCTCCTCCTCCCCCCCGCTCTTACCTCCTGTACCCTCCTCGTCCACGCCCTCGTCGTCGCCTTCCTCCTCCTCCACCTCCTGCTACTTCTGCTCCTCCTCCTCCTCCTCTCCCTGCTCCTGCTCCTCCTCCTCCTCCTCCTCCTCCTCCTCCTCCTCCTCCTCATCCTCCTCCTCCCCTCTCTTACCTCCTTTCCCCTCCTCGTCCACGCCCTCGTCGTCGCCTTCCTCCTCCTCCTCCTCCTCCTCCTCCTCCTCCTCCTCCTCCACCTCCTGCTACTTCTGCTACTCCTCCTCCTCCTGCTCCTGCTCCTGCTCCTGCTCTCCTCTCACACCTCCTCCGCCCATCCTCCTCCTTCTCTCCCCCTCCTCTTCCCCCTCCTCTTCCTCCTCTTCCTCCTCCTCCTCCTCCTCCTCCTCCTGCTCCTCCTGCTCCTCCTCCTCCTCCTCCTCCTCCTCCTCCTCCTCCCTTCTCCTCCCCCTCCTCCTCCTCCTCCTTCTCCTCCTCCTCCGTCTCCCTCCTCCTCCTCCTCCTCCTCCTCCTCCTCCTCCTCCTCCTCCTAACCTCTCCTCCTCCTCCTCCTCCTCCTCCTCCTCCTCCTCCTTCTCTTCCCCCTCCTCCTCCTCCTCCTCCTCCTCCTCCTCCTCCTCCTGCTGCTCCTCCTCCTCCTCCGGTTCACGGTGGATGGCAAGAAGAGCATATGCCAGGAAAGACGTCTCCCCAGCCCGAGTGAGCTCTGCCGTGCGCCACCTCCTCCTCTCACTCCTCATCGCCCCCTCTCCTCCCGCCTCTCCTTCCGCCTCTCCTCCTTCCTCCTCCCACTCCTCCCTCCCCCTCCTCTCTCATCGGCCTCCTCCTTGCTGTCCTCGCTCTCCTCCTCCCCAGCCCCCCCCCTTCCTTCGCCAGCCTCCCGGAGCAGGGCCAGTCAAAACATCGGTGGCCCCTGCGAGCGACAAGGAGGACAAGGGGGACGGGGAGAAGGCGGAAGAGGACGGGGACGAGGCCAGCAGAGGGAGAGCAGGCCTTTCTCCAGAGGAGTTTGCTGGGTGGCCCTGTGTTCTGGCCGTGGGGCCCTCTGCTCCTCCTCCCCCCCCAGGCATGCGGTCTTTCTGCCCGACAGGCGGCAGGCGGCGGGCGCGGGTATTTTGCCACGCACGCCGAGGGAACAAGAACGGGAACAAGAACGAGAGGAGGCGAGCCACCGAAGTCGGCGGCCCTTCGAACGACGAGCTCCGAGGAAGAGGAGAAGATGAGACGGAGAAAAAGGACGACGACGACGATGGGGAGCAGAACGAGCTTCGAGGAAGAGGAGAAGACGAGACGGAGAAGAAGGACGACGACGATGAGGAGGAGCAAGAGGACGAGAGGGGGGCCACTGATGTGTCAAGTGGAACCCCCTCTTCTCCGCCCCTCAACCTCGGATCTCGAGGGGGGTGATCCCTCCTCTTTCTCCTCGTCCTCCTCCAAAAGCAATACGGAATGCAACACACTTTTTAATACATGGTCGTCGTGGTTGGCGCTTTGATCAGAGCACCCTCCCTGAATATCCCCAAACCTCTCCTGGCTCGCACGCGAGGCCCAGACACCCGAGCTGACGCGCAAGTAAATATGCGCAGAGCAAAAACAAACTTCAATGTACAAGAAAACCGCATGGCAAAACTCAGGAGCAGTGCGCAACAAACAACGGCAATGCAACATACCATGTCTGTTGTGGTCATCGCGGATGGTGTGTTGGGCACCAAACCCTCTGTGGATCCTTTCGAACCTCTTCTGGCTCACACGAGAAGCCGGGAATCCCATGCCCACGCGAGCTTAAACTGCGATACGCAGAGTAAGCAAAGACGACAGTGGAAATGAGCTGCAGGGAAAAAGTGAGCAATGCAGCAAACATTGCCAGTGACAAACCAAAGCATGATTCTGGCCGTCGTGGTTGGTGCTATAGGCATCCCCCCTCTCTGACTCTCCCACGACCTCTGTCGATTCACACGCGACGCTCAGCATCCGAGGCTCAACGCACGAGCAAATATGCACAAACCAACAAACAAAAACAGTGCAACCAAAACCCAGTGCAGAGATGCAATGCAGCACAACAAGCACTGAAGTGCCAAACAACTGTGCTTCTGGCCATCGTTGTTGGCGCTTTGGGCACATCTCCCTGAATCTCCTCGAACCTATCCCGACACAGGCGAAGCCTGGAATCCAACGTCCAAGGTCAAACAAAATGTCACTAAGCAAAGCAGCAAATCGGCAGTGTAAGGCCAAATCGACTGCAATGCAAAACAACCCTGCAGTGCAACCTGCGATTCTGCATTGTGATTGGCGTTATGGGTACCACACCCTCCCTGAATCCCTTCATATTCATACCTCTCTCGACTCACACGCGAAGCGCATATTCCACAGCTCAGGCACAAAACAGTGATGCGCACAACAAACAACACTGCAGTAAGACCAAACGTTGTTCTAGCCATAGCTGTTGACCTTTGGGCACCACACCCTTTCTTCTGAATCTACTCAGACCTCTCAGGAATCACACGCGAAGCTTGGAGTCCGAGTTGGAAGTAACGCGCTGAATGTCTCAACGGGTGATTCAGAAATACAAGTAGGCGTCGATCGGAAGAAGTGGGTAGAAGCATGTAGTAGGAAGGTGGTGAAAGTAGATTGGGCTTCCGCCCGTCCCCTGAAGAGGAAGGAAGTAGGGAAACCACGTGATCATTAAAGTAGGCGCCTAAAATAGATTGGGATCTGGTAATCCAAAAATACGTACTTTCAACGACCGACTGGTACTTGTGATCTCGCTAAGAACGTTCTCGCATTCCTCCTGCGTTTCTTCCTCGTCCTCCTCCTTCGTCGTTGCGTCTCATCACACCCCGTCTCCGGCTTAACATGCTCGTCAGATCTAGCCATACCTACGTACGCTCGTGCGACTAATGTGCTCGGAAGAGAAATCGTATCCAGCAAGAGAGGGATAATGAGTAGGAGGGAACAGGGGGACGAGCATCAGGGAGTATCATGAAATCGAGAACTGTGGTAGTTGGAAGGAAAATGCGAAGGACCAAGAGGAGGATAGGGAAGACAATCAAGATGAGCAATCAGAGGTGGAAGAGGAAGGCGAAAAAGAGAGGATGAGGAACAGCAGGAAGAACATGGAAGAATAACGAAATGCCAGAACTGATGAGAAGAAACGCCGGAACAGGCAGAAGGAGAAGGAGACTGAGGCAGTGGATGATGAGGGACAGGATAGGGAAAAAGGGAAAGGATGAGGGGGCGGAAGAGGAGGAGCAGAAACGGGAGGAGAGGGAGGATGAGGAGGAGGCGAAGGAGGTTGAAGAGACGGAGGGATGACGAGGAGGCGACACGATGATGATGACAACGATGACGAACGACAACGATGCCGACCGACGATGAGAAGGAACATACGCGTGTGGATGTCTGTGTGCGTGTGTCTGTGTGCGCGCATACACGCTCTCATTGTTCCACATGTGCATCAAACTATTCGCCTGCCAGGCGGTGATGAAAGGGATGCATTGGGAGCAATTTCGATGCCTCGCGCAGTGGAACATGAAACTTCAGAACATTGCCAAGCTCCGGATCCTTGAATTTACCGAGGAGCGATGCGAGTGAGCTGTTCGAAAGGTTCGTCAAACGAGCGCATTCCAGAAGGAGCCTCGACAGCCACACGTCGGTTAGTCTTATGTCGTGCCTGCCCCCCTACAGGGGGATTTTCGACGAAAAATAAAAGATACCCCCAAAATAATCCAAAAATAATCCCAGAATGGTCTGGGGACTATTTTTTTGAGCATTTGTTTGCCTTTGGGGGGCATTTTTGCGGGATTTTTTTCATTTTTCGTCGAATATCCTCCTGTAGGGGGACGCGCCCGACTTAAGGTTAGTCTGCCTATGAAGCGTCCAGGGCGGAAGGTCGACCCCACCGCTGCACCAGCGGACCCCCCCGAGACAGGGCCCTCCGACACCCGACCGCACCGGACCGTGACGACGACGACTGGCGGAAGCACGAAGATCGAGGCGGGGGCGGAGGGGGTGAGAGGCGCTCCCTTCCCTGACCTTCCAGGAGGGCTAAAAAATAGCACGCGACTGAAAAACCTATGCCAGAGCAATTCTATGTCTTGGTGTTAGGCGGTTTCGTTTCGTTTTTGGGGTTTTTAGGCCTCCCGTGCTAAGAAATAGCTCTCTGGAAGGTCAGGGGAGGCGCTCCCTTAGAGGAACAGAAAACGCAATGGACTGAAACTTTTCTTCGATCCGCGCCAGGGGCGGCGCCGGAGGCGCCGCCCAGGGGGCCCAGCGCGGGTCCAAGAAATCCGCGCGGAGCGCCAAACGTTTGTCTTTCTTTTATGTTTTTCCTCCTTCGAAGATCGGGCGTTGGCAGAACTGGGTTTAGTGGGACCTTGTTTAGCGATGTGTACTG